ATTTGCGCAGTGCTTTTGTTTTGAGTAGAGTTTCTAGTGAACAAATTTAATGGTTGTGTCTCACCTTATAATTTCATACAACCCTGCATCTGTAAAAAAATAAACATTTCAAAGCTTTTCTCATTGTATCCATTTTGCTACCAACGAAACTAGGCAAAACCAATGATAGCCACTGGATGGCAACAACATGTGTAATCAAGGTAGTGCATGGCTGTTTACTCTCTCCCCAGGTAAACAGTAGAGTAAATAGTGACCAGCACTACAGTGCGCAGAAAATTGGGCATTTCAAACATAAAACAAATTCAAAAAAGTCTAGTAGAAGGTATGAACCACAGTCTTAGTCATGGTAAGAAAAGGTCCTTCACAAGATATTTTCTAAAGGAATTTCTAAAGGAAATGTGACCTTATCAATCAATAACATTGAAAGTTGCTAGTAGTAATAGTATTTGAATAAATCACATTTGACACGTTTGTCTGTTTTTAACAGTCAACAGGTGCTTAAAGCCTAACATTAGCATTTCTTTCCTACTTGTTGGTCAAGACATGTATTAGTCATGCACTTTGTTAACAGCGTATGCAACAGTGTCATCTGTATAGAAGTTGAATTTGACGCTCAAGCTAAGAGAAGTTGCTGAAACCATTTTAATTGTATACTTAAATTGCTTAAAGAGAACTGGATCCAGTGTCATGCCTTTAGGGGTATCCTAACAGTATGAAGAGATTAGCAGTTATCATAACAACAACAACAACAGTAACAACAAGCTATACATACAGCTATTGCACTGCCTCACATATTGCTTGCAAATGAATGAATTTGTGTATTGCAAAATCTCTTCTGGTTGAAATACAGGCACATCTCCTCATTTGTCCTCTTTGTTAAAAGTTTCATAGGGTATGGCTTTCATAACAGGCCAAAAGAACTTAACTAATTGGAATTTCCTCTCCCTGTCTCACCTTATCACCATACAATCTTTGTCTATCTCTCTGTCTCCCCATCTTCTTTCACTGTTTCTTCTTCTACAATATTAAGTCCTTCTGTCTTTCTCTATGTCTCTGGCCATACCTTGTCATCTGTAGCCACACCCGACTGCTGGTTCAGGACCAAAATGTCAGAATTACAGAGCTCCCATACGAGCTTCTGCGGTCCAACAGATGTATATACACCAACTTCTAATTCTGACTATACTCTACTCTCCCTTTTCTCTCCTTACCCCCACCTTCTGTTGAGTGCTACTGAGTTCAGATCACTTACCACCATCCTATTCAAAGTGAAAGAATGTTTTCAAGATATATCTGTCTTTCTTCAACCATCTTTTTGTCTGTTTACTTTTTAGGAGTGCAGGATGATGAAGATGTGAAGCGGATGTTGCAGGGATCCAGTATGGTAAAGGTAAAGCTATTAGAATTTATTAACTTCTAGTAGCTGTTAGTTGTTAGTAATAGTAGTGGGTAGTAGTAATGAAATCAATGCAATTTAATGAATTACTTCAATATATGTAAAGGTACGCTCGCCTCGCTGGCAGAAGCGACGAACTCTGAAGCTGCTGGAAGACGGTGTCACTGTCTGGTGTCAGTCCCACAAAACCTCCAGCCGGGCCAAGGAGCAACAATCCTGTAAGTGTGTGTGTTTGTTTGTGGGTTCTTTCATATAAATAAAAACATAAACCATATAAATAAAAATGCATGTAGTCTCCATAGGTTTCTGAAGCTGCTGTGAAGCCTAGTGTGGGCGGTTCTGGCTGTCGCCATTTTGACAGTCCTGACTCTGCCGGCAACCTGCAAATCCAAATAGGAACAAAGACATGGAACTGAGGTGGGCTAAATGAAGCCTGATTACTACAGTTTGTCACTCAAAGCGGCCATGCCCTTAATTCTGCATAATTTGAAAGCCTTGGTATAATTTAAACAGGTTAGTTATGTAAAACCAACCCCATACAGTTCTGAACCAGGATATAAGCTATAGAGATCAAAACTGTTCGTACCAGGTTGTAAATATTTCTGCTGTAAAGTTGGCATTTTAATATGGGGCTTTGTAGAGATTGACTCACAAGTTAGCCTCAAGAGGCTGTTGGAGGAACTGCAGTTTTGGCTTCATTTGACAACTACAGAGGTTACCAATTGAATCAAAATCAGTTCACTAGTCTCTTTTTACATTCTTTACACAAATAATTACGTTACTTTTTTGTGTGTACAAGTGAAATCACCAGCACAAAGGCTGACCAATAGTATACATTGTTACCCTATTTCCCATCTTCCCCCTACTGTATAATGGCAGGCTTTACAAATAAGGCCATTCGGAACAGCTACTTTGAACACTTTGCCGTTTCGATGTGGTCAGCTGCAAGTAGTATGACCTAGTTAGTTTTAGGCCTACCCTTACCTTTAGACCTATTGATCGGTGGCAACAGAAAAGGACCTTACCTAACCTCATTAGATTAGATTGGACACAGAGTATATTATTATATAGTATTGATTAGTGTGAAGTTATTTCTCCAAAGTCATATTGCTCTGTTAGGGGAAATGTGGTCTACACTGACATAATTTTAACACATTTAATGTTTCATATAAAAGTCATAAATATTGAAATATACGCTGTGTGCTGCCAAAAGCAAGTCTCAAGTTTGAACTTCTTTTTAACAGAAAAATGCTCACTGGGTAATTTGGGTGCCGCCCAACATGGGTCCCAGTTTACATCTTGGTTACTTAAAACTGAGTGGATCCATGAGGACCTCTCCAATATGCATTAAACACTGTAAACTTAGTTTTGGAAAACCTTTGAAATCACCCTTTAAGGTGCCCACCCAGGGGTTAAGAGCCATCTCTGTGTGATAATCTTTGTGTGTTCCAGAAGAACTCAGTGCTCTGACTGGGCGTGTAAGGTGAAACATGGATATACAGTATCTATTTTCGTTAACTTTAAATGCTACTCACTTCTCTGTACAGACATAGATTTGCTCACACAGCTACTCTCGCTCTCCTCCACTATCTGAGGGTCACACACGGTGCCGTGATTACAGAGCTCATCTATTTTGAGCCTAAGATGGCAGCCCATCCTGCTGTAGTTCAAACAGTGAGATTATAGGACATTATATGGTGGTGGGACTCAGCCCTGGAGCCTGTGGTTTGGTGCTATATAGTTACCATACGACTCAACAACTAGTTTAGCCTCCCAAGTGCAGTACATGGCCTTTAATTGCCACAAGACTAGGTTTGCTTATGATGTGGCGCAGTGTGTGTTTGGTGTTTGGTGTGTGTGTGTATTTGTTTTACAGGACCTTTCCTCTAACCACCAATAGCTGTGTGTGTGTGTGTGTGTGTGTGTGCGTGTGTGTGCGTGTGTCCACTCTACATCAGAGAACTTATAACTTCTAAAGAAGCATATAGTTTCTTCTCCCGTGAACATACACTTACAAGCTAAAGTTAAAGTTTGATGTGCTTGTTATTGTCTTGTTTTTCTAAACTCCTCTCTGATCCATACCTGCATCCCAAAACTCCAAATCAATTTAACTGGACTTGACATGTGGATACAAGAAAGTGGAAGTTTGTCAGCCACACCCAGTAACTCAGTAACTCAGTGACTGGGTGGTCTACTGCAGTAATTTGCTAACCTTTTTGTCTTGTGGCAAAAATGTCGTAAGGTCTGATACCCCTAATCCAACACAAGTTCAACCAGATAGTAATTTTTGATTAGACATAGTTTAATTTGAAAAAAAATATGGATGTCTGAAGAGGTGCAAGTATCCAGGTTTTTCCCATGAAAAAAAGCAAAAATTGGATTCAATAATAATCCCTATTTTATGGCTATTATGGGGATAAATGGAATTTTCTCAACACAGTTCACAACAATGCACCAATTAACACACTGATGGCTATTGGACTGGGGGAGCTGGGAATCGAATCAGTGACCGTCCAATTATTACATGACCCGCTCTACCACCTGAGCTACAAAAGCAAAAAGGAAAGAAAAATAAAAAGTCAAAGGGAACCCCCAAGAAATAAAAACAGAGATAAAACAAGGATGCTATGTAGTTGTATAAGCATACAGTCCATATTTCAATGACAGAAGGTGCTTGGCACAAAGCAGTATACTGCTCCTGAGAGATATGTAGATGTATCAGCATACTGGGGAAGAGAAAAACAAAAAAACAAAACAGCTGCTGTAGAGTACCGGAATTTATTCACACTCAAGACAAAAGAAAGAGAAATGAAATTGAAAGGTTAGGATCAGGTCAGTGTATCACCTCCTGTATAACATTAGCCATCAGACTGCTGGGAAGGATAGATTCTCCACATAATCAACAAGGGGGAGGCCAGGGTCTGGTATATCTTTTCAGTTATCCTTTCAGAGTGGATTTCAGAATCTCCATTTGAAGACACATTATGACTTCCTTGATCCATAATATAAAGGAGGAAGATCTACGAGTACACTTGAAATATTGAGGTCCAGAAATGTTTTAATGAGTTACATGACCAGAACAAACAGATGATCCTATAGATTTTAGTAAGAAAATCAACCTTAAAAAAAAAAAAAAAAAAATCCACAGTGGAAATTGAGCCTTTATGGCTTGTAATTGAAAAGGTCACAGATCTGACCTCAACAAAGCAGTCCTATGCTTGGACACTGAGCAGTAGGTGCATCAGCAAACTGTAAAATATCAATGTATAATACATACAATAACAGTCTACTGATGTTTAGGTTAAGCCTTCTTGTAAATAACCCAGGAGGCATTTGGTAATGCTTTGACAAATGTCTAATCAAACTACGTCCTGTCTATTTGTTTTCAATGGGAGGCTAGTGAAATGGCTCTCAAAGCATTGTGGGATAGCAGGAAACATGGGATTGAGTAACAACACAATAAAAAGGAGGAATCAATAGTTGAAACTGCTGAATACTCAATTTAAAAAAAACAGAAGGAATAATCAGCTGCACACCACACTGGAGCAAATAGAAAGTAAAACAAAGAAGTAAAGCAAACTGTTTTGCTGTCAAATGTATCAGATGATTCACAAAAGAAGCACAGATTATTAGTATGACACACTCTTTAGTTCCCAAAATTAACTCACAGGTTTGGAACCAATTTATTTTTTGGCGAAATGCTCTGAAGGGAGCTGGTTCCCTGTTGGTGGAAAAAGCCTATGTGAGCATCTTCCTTAGGAACAGCATTTAATATATTTTAAGCAGAATCCCACTGCTCTCCGTCTGTGACAGACTTCTTAAACTAGCTAGTTTCTAGTGAAACCACAAACAAATAGAAGTCGGCAAACACCCGCTGATGTTTGGTCTCTGCACTGATGTTTAGTTTGGTTTATTCAAATCCATTAGTCGGTGTGATTTGATTGTCAAAGTACACATATTGACGCAGTCGTATGGAAGGTGTGCTAGATGAGCAAACAGGTTAAAAATAACACAAACAGAAAGGTGAGCTGTAGAGTTGCTTGTGTCTAAATTTGGTAGGAATTAGAGTGAACAGTGCAGCCCAGTCATCAGTGTTATTAGTCACCAATCCAGTCTCTTTATTTCCTGCAAAAATACAATATTGGCTGGTATTTTCAGCGTTCAGGGTTACCCAGATTACCAGAAATACAATATCTTTGAGCCACTTCTTGTCCTTGGCCTAGCCTTGTACCCTATAACCATGATTTCCTGTTGACACACAGCAGAAGTGTGTGTGTAAACTACACAAACTCCAAACTCTATAAATCTACTTTTATATAATACGGTACACTGTAGCAAAAGTGGTAGTCACAGAAATACTGGGACAAATATTAGCAGTACACAATCTCTGGAATTAATGGGTATGCAAAGTATGCTGCTGAGGTGTGTGTGTGTGTGTGTGTGTGTGTACTGTATTGACAAACTAAATTAATGCTCAAAGCACTGATAATGGAGAGAAAGAGTGCTGGACTGTTGAGTACTGTGTGCAGATTATAAAATGTGAGTTTGTAAGTGAAAATCACACAAAGACAGATCCAAAGCGACAGCAGATTGTGTAATAAAATCCAAGCAATTCGAGCATAGACATACACTGCAGTTGAGAGAGCTGTGCAAGAGACTTAATGTCCCCTATTCTCTCATAATCTCCTCCACTCATGGAAGGGTCAGGATCATGCTAGGAGAGAACATGTTTATATTACTCATGGCCTGAATACGGGCACGCTATCGCAGGAATACCCTCTGCCATAGCACTGCTCAACAGAACACCTTGGTATTTATGATGATATAACAAATTGCCTGGAAAAGACAATAAAGAATCTATCTATCTATCTTGCACGTCCAGCTAGATAGCAAGGTTGAGATTCGATTGAGATGGAATATCTTTCAGATGGATGCTGTTCATCCCTCCAGTAGAGTTCAGAGACAGAGCGATTTCATGAGGAGTACTGAAATGTGTTGTCTTAAATGTTTTGGGTGATCTTCAAAGCTCATATTCTAGGGAACTCAGGGGTCACCTGAGAACTTACATGTATCTGTTCTCTGTCCTGACCTCTGAAACAGAAACTTCCTTAAATGGGAAGTCTGGTTCCAATACTCTTTGTCCAAGCTCTCAAATATTTCCATTGTGGTAACAGAGGTTACCCATTAGTTTCCCATTAATAACCAATACACCTCTGAAACAACAAAGCACTCATGAGTTTCTCTTTGAGTGAATATCACTCGATATTGGATGGATGATTAATTGCGCTTGACTTACTTGTTGTTCTTGCACCTTTTTCATTCTGTTCCCCTGACACATCTTCAGTTTCTGTCATGGAAGTGGAGTGCATTCGTGAGGGTTGCCAGTCAGAGATGTTGCGGCAGATGGTCGGCTCAGTACCAGAGGGCCGGTGTTTGACAGTGGTCTTCAAAGGGCCCCGCAAGAGCCTGGATCTCCTCTGTCAGAGCCAGGAGGAGGCTCAGCAATGGGTCCGCGGCATCCGAACCCTGCAGGAGAGGGTGGACAACATGACCCAGAAGGAAAAACTTGACCAATATCCTATCTCATGTTTATTTGTAGAAATGGTATATGGGAAGATAATAATAAACTGACTGCGGCAAGTGGTTTGTTACACAGAACCATCTGGGAAGTTATTGGAAACTGTTTGGAAAAGGATAGGTACTTCCAAAAAATACTTGGCAGGTGATTGGATGAACCGTCTGTCTATCACAGGCGAACTTCAACTAATCAGATCAACGAACCATATTACGTCAAACTCCTAATATTACAGTCGGGAGAACATCTTATCCATCAACAAACCCCTCAGTGCCGTTCTTTGCTTTTCTTTCAATGAAGTTCTGTCATAACTGATGCTAACAGCCTCTATGCTAACCTCAATGGGAGCCTTAAAAGTCACAAAACAGAGTGCCAACAGTCTAACAAGTATCCAATAAAAACTCTTTTGTCATCCTGATCGGCTATTATAATTAAATATTAGTTCTGTTTTTCAAAATTCCATATTGGTCAAACTATAACACCCCTAAACCTTATCCAATTTCTGTTCTTGCTGCTTCCTTGACTGTGTTTGTGTGTCACCTGGATTCATGCTTACCTGAGTCGAGCCGACCAGAACCATGATGATAAAATGAGCTATGAGGAAGTCCAGACACTGCTGCAGATGATCAACATTGACCTGAGTGACCAGTATGCCCGCAGCCTCTTTCAGGTAGTGGAACACACACACAAAGACTTAAAAACATTGGCTCCATATCCAGGATTTCTGTCAGTAATTAAAAGTGATTTTTAAACTCATTTGATTTGACTAGTGATAGACCTACATTAACTGTGATGATGATCACCTGTATCTCACTCTGTTTCTCTGATAGAAATGTGATCAGTCCGCTGACGGTCGCCTGGACCATGGGGAGATTGAAGTTTTCTGCAGGGAGTTGTTACGGAGACCGGAGCTAGATGCTGTGTTTATCCGCTACTCTGCAAATGGCTGTGTACTTTCCACTGTGGACCTGAGGGATTTCTTCAAGGACCAGGGGGAGGACGCTTCCCTCATCCATGCCCAAAGCGTCATACTCACCTATGAACTTAATGAGTGGGGTAAGGTGCCAAGTAACAATATATTGCAAAGGACCAACATTTATCGGGTGTGTGTTCAGCAAAATGGCTCTGATAAACCCATTGGATGCTACCTGCCCAGCCCTAAGGGGAGACAGATAAAGTTAGCGATTAGACGGTAAACATAGAAAAGCGGATATTTTTCTCTGGAGTTGGTAAAGACCAAAATAGAGCTCAAAAGAGAATGAATATTGTATTTATCGGGTTCACAGATAAAACCAAATGAATGCTGAATTTTGTTCCATGTCCGTTGGATGTGTAAATAAGCTAATTATTGCTTAATTAATTAACTAATTACTAGTAGTGACTGATGATGATGAACATGAAGAAGATGATAACGACGACAACAACGATGGGGGACGATAAGCAGTGATTATAGTAATAATAGTATCTGTGATATTAGCAATGGCAGTC